ATGCAAATTACTCTCGGTGGATGGATAAATGGTGATAAATTTGTAATGGCATGCTCCCCTTCATAATAACTGTAACTCTCAGTAAAGAGTCAGTAAAGTAGATTAATGTTAACGAAAGCCGGCAAAAATTTAAGATGAAAACAGAGGGTGCCGCTCGTTATGTTGGTAGCACGCTGACCATGCAAGCTTTGTTCTTGTGTTTGTAGGCTTAGGTGGTCTGGGCACAAGTCAGTCAATTTTACAATTTGTAGCAAGAGTCAGATTCTTATTTTAGACCAAGATCTTTCAGTCATTGCTACACTGTGTTTTTAATTTTACTCAAACCCTACATTTTTTAAAAACAGCGGCTGGCTAAACAGAACTTTACATTAGCAAACTTGAAATTAAAAAGCAGCTTTCATTCTCTATTCTTCTAACATTATCCAGCTTAGTGCTGTTTCATTGCTCCCAACATGTGGCCGGGCCAAAATATTAAACCGGGCATTTATAGCAAGTATTTTCAGAGCACTTTACTTTCTCTCTAAGGGAAGTACAATTTTTTTCGGCCATTTTAGAGTAACTAGGGTCCACTACACTGCACAGTAACGAACATTTCCTGGAGGAGATGGTTTTAAGAAATACACGTAAAACCCATTACATTTTCTCACACGAATGTGAACTCTTCTGTAACAACATTTGTTGTATCCAAAGAAACAAACTTCCCTATCGACAATGCCATCCTCTATCGATGGATGTAAGCCGTTTAACCAGCCTGGTAGGTCTGTGCCGCATTTGTGATGACCGACGCAATTGTTCAGCATCTTTTCGTATAAATAGGACTGGAATCTGTACCAGCCAGGGATCAAGGAACTGTCTTCTTTTTGACCTCTTCCGTAGGAGATGTGCCGATCTGGCTCGCTTAGCACTTTATGATTCAAGCACTCCGGTGCAACTGAAATACATGCACAAAAGTTAAAATCCTACGATTGTACATTGAAAAATGAATTATAATCAGACAAGATATTTGCTGACCTCAAAGGAAGTAAGGTATAGAGAACCAGAAATACTAAACGGCCCAGGTAATGATGTGTTCATATTGAAACAGGTTTTCCAACCGTTGTTAAGTTAAAGATCTGCAATCCATATCAACTTCTGCTTCTCTATATTTAAAAACCCATGATCCTTTCTATTTTTTCCTTTTCGTTGTGGTCTTTTTCTTTCTTTCTGGATTATTGTTTATGGTTCCTTTAAAATGGAGGTACTTTATAAGTAAGGGAAAACTAAACGCTCCAAATATCGTGTCATCATTAGTTACTCTTGAAGAGCTCGTCTCATCCATAACAAAGTCTAGGTGAAGTTGACAGTAGGAAAAAGCCAGTAAATTGCATAAAGAACGGATAAACGTAAGTGACAAAGTTGCGAATGGTTTTAGTTTCCCAAATTTCAATTCAACCTAGATTAATGGATGCCTCATTTCTCTATCGCCCACCCTATATTTTCAACTGATTTTTCCTGTTTCCATGCACTCATCTCATATCACAATAAGCAAACTAGATGGTATGGTTACATCGGATGTAGCGTAAAACACACTAATTAATCTTTAGTTTTGAGAGTAATCACCAAGAGAAGTAACATCTATCTGAGAATTTCAAATTAATCCGGAAGAAAATTACTATTTACCAATTTCACAATGTTTTCCAACATATCCAGGATGACAGACGCACTCGAAGGGTCCATCTCTGAAGGATATTACTCTACACTTCCCATGACTCGAGCAGATTTCAGCGCCACAAGAATTCTAAAGAATATGGAACAAATGAGTAACATAAAACAGCAGTAAATGCATACATAAACTACTTAAAAGTACATCTTCCCGCATAACAAATAAACCTATAAGCTATAAGAAGTTGAACCCGATGTATTTTGAAATACCTATATTGGAAATTCAATCGTGAAACAACCCACGACATTAACAACAGGAAAGGAAATTTGGAAGATCTAATCATTTCTCAAATACCTGCGAAAGGCTGTAATGGCGTGATCGATAATTTGCCGCTAGTTTTGCAGCATCGCTGTGGATGTTGGACGACAGAAGTTCGCACCAATACTTCCCTTTTCCATCAGCAACGGCAGCAACATTTAATGAGACACAGAACGCATTTCGTAGACATGCAAAGCTGCAATCGATGGGCTCGACAACATGTCTTTTTTCTAGAGCACTGATGTGCAAGTAATGAAAAAGGCTTAACTCAAATGACGCTGTTATAACTTCTGGTATTACCCTTTGAAGATTCAAAACAAGCACCATGGTGAAAGCAATCATTAACATCCTTGTTGTTGAAACTTGCCTTTTAAACAGATTCCTAAGAAAAAGCAGCGCAAAAATTAATGTACATATGCAATGCGTTATGCTTCTTTCTCATGAAACGCACCGTGATCTTTAAATGACTATCAATGGGTGATCCTTTCCAAAGATCTTAGAATATTTGAAGATATTGCTGTTAATGTGACTCCATTAGATCGCTAAGAAAACGCCGAACGAAACAGGAAAAAATTAAAAATTCAGCCATTAAATTATTTAGCTCATCATAATCAAATACTATATAAAAGAGTTTTATTAGCATTGTTAAACGCTACGTACATTGCAGCTTAAAAAGTAATTCCTATTCAGGTGATTTTAAACTGTCTAAGCATTAATTTCTGTGCCAGAAAGATCGTCTAAATTTTTAATTTCAAGACGTTACAAACTCACTCTAACTCCAAGAAAAACTGCGATTCAGGATGACGTGTTTCATTCTCAAGCATCTATTTTTTTCTAAATATAAGAACAGAGATGTCTGGTTTTAGACATTGTCAAATTTATACAAGTCAACAAATTCAGAAATTGCCATCAGGGTAAAACTAAAAGCGAATGAAGCCTTGAGTTTAGCAAAAACCATTCAAAATTAGAAAGCTTTTCCTTAAAATGCGCCTCTGTTTCATCATACAGCATTCTACGAAGTCATTATTCATTTTTTATCGAGCTAAAATGCATAACTTCCTACATCAAATATTTTTATTCGATTCAAATATTGCAGAATGCTTTAAATTCGTATGTTAATATGCGGCCATGGATATCAAACAATGGACGTTGAATAAAGACGTATTTTGACAGGACGTCTTCTTGTCAGAGCTTTGACCTCACGGAGAGTAAATTTTCTCACGTAATTTCTGTTTCCTTAGAAATTCTAAACTTTAGTTTGACTTTCAGAGCTTGTAGTAAGAGCATCACTTACGGAACTTAACAACTGACAGTGTAAGGAACATCGATAATCATTTAAAATTCTTGAAACTCATCTGCGGGGATCACGTCTTTACTTATTTATAACTCGAAGGTCAAAATGTGCTGAATTAATTTCGCTAACTAGAAGTTAGTATTTCACAGTAACAAGGTTTGTAACCCTATAGTAATGTATTTGCGTATACTCGAGAATTAAAACTCTGGAGGGGGAATTCTATATGGGATCATATCTAGAGGCGTGAGGTTTATAGTACCCAGTGGCTCATTAATGCGAATAAAGGAAACAGGTTTTAAGAGGGGAGGGGACCCCAACAACGACCAGTAAGGGAAGGGGGGCCATGCACAGGACCGCAGCAGCTCATTTAATGAATGTAAACCAATTCTTTATTGTGAATTATAAGTAAACCGGGATTGCTTTGGTTTTGCTCTACTTGCTGTGTGATTGGTCCAGAAACTCACGCCACCTTTTAAACCAATCAAATGCAAAACTGAAACCAATCACGACTTGTTCGCTCCCATTTTCCCCCGGTTCAAGTGGTTTTACTTTGAGTTGCCATTGGCTAATGATGATGTCAACCTTTCATCTGATTGCCAATGTGATAACCCTAGTTTTGGAAACTAATAACCTCATGCATCATTAACGATTTGATAATAAAATTTATTTTACGATTGGCACTGTTGTGATCGATCCCAAGATATCCTCTTGTTCGACATGCTCGAAAGATATGGCGAGAAATTGTGAATGAACGAAAAATTTTGGCGATTCAAAAGGCGAAGTTTTATCGCGATGGAGATGAAAATTTCATCGCGTTTGTTAACATAT